TGCACCATCATAATGATTGCTGGAATGTTTGAAACCATTGTTGAGGGCCTTCCAACCCAGTGGGCCTATCCTCTAGCACTGTACCAAACAATATTCTGTTGTGATACATAAGCATCCCATGGTTAATTTTCAGCCAATAGTTAATTAACATAAATTATAACATATACATGGACCTCCCAGATGAAATATACAGGAATCATATCAACTATATTTGTGGAAAGAGATGATGGAAAAGCTCAATATATTACAGAACAATTGCTCACACGCAATTTCAAGTTGAACCTGAAGAAAATTAAAACAAGTCCAGAAGAGTAAACATATGATCTAGAGTGTATTACAACTAAGTTTAGAGCCCATCTCAAAGATAGATATGATACACTGAACACTAATGACCAAAATCCAAGTTGTGAAATGACATTAAGGACATTATAAATGTAGAAATCAAAAGGTCACTAAAAAGATGGGAAGGAAAGAAAAGATCAAAATGGATGACAGAAAAGACTGAAATTTACTCTTCTACATTAAATCAAATGGAAAAAAATGATGAAGTAAAAGAACTGAACATCAGATTTTAAAGAGTGGCTGGAGAAGACAAAATAACTGTGCAAAGTCCTGGAGTTAGAAAACCAAAAGAAAAGAACACGTTCGACATTTCTCAGTCTGAAAGAACTGAAGAAACAATACAAGCCTCAAGTTGCTATACTGAAGGATTCTATGATAAAAACACTGACCACAGGAAGTGTCAAGAGACAATGGAAGGAAATCACAAAGTCACAGCACCAAATAAAATTAGTTAACATTCAACCATTTCATATGATCAAGAACTGATGATATGAAAGTAGCCCAACCTGCATTGAAGGCATTGGGAAAAAAACAAGGCTCCAGGATTTGATAGAAAACCAATAGAAATGTTTCCACAAACAGATACAATACAGGATGTGCTCACTGGTTTATACCATGAAATTTAGAAATCACCTACCTGGTCAACTAATAGAAGAGGTCCATATTTGTGCCCATTCCAAAGAAAAGAAATTCAATAGTATGCAGAAATGATCAAATATCAACAATATCACATGCAAGTAAAATTATGCTAAAGATTATTCAAAAATGGTTGCAGCAGTACATGATAGAAAGCTGCGAGAAATCCATGCCAGATTGACTCAGAAGAGAATATGGATCTTGACTAAAAGCAGAGAACACCAGAAAGATGTTTACCTGTATTTCACTGACTTTGCAAAGGCATTCGACTGTGCATCAAAACAAATTATGGATAATATTGAGAAGAATAGGAATTCCAGAACACTTAATTGTGCTCATGTAGAACCTGTACATAGACCCAAGAGGCAGTTATTTGAACAGAACACAGGGTTACAGAATGGTTTAAAATCAGGAAAAGTGTGTCAGGGTTATATCCTATACCATAGTTGTTCGATCTGTATGCTGAGCAAATAACCAGAGAAACTGGACTACATGTAGAATGGGGAATCAGGATTGGAGACTAATTGCAGATAGTACAAACTTGCTTGCTGAAAGTGAAAAGGATGTAAATAAAGCACTTGCTGAGGAAGATCAAAAACTTTCGTACAGATTACACCTCTACATTAAAAAAAAAAAAAAAAATCCTCAGAACTGGTCCAAGGATAACTGGTCTCCATGATAAATGATAGATTGAAGTTGTCAAGGATTTAATTTTACTTGGATCCACAATCAACACACATGAAAAATGCAAAAAAAACACCTCTTTAAAGTGTTAAAAAGCAAAGACAGAATTTTGAGGACCAAGGTGCACCTGACCCAATCCATGTATTTTTACTTACCTCATATGCATGTGAAAGAATGACTATGAATAAGGAAGACCAGAGAATTTATGCCTTTGAATTATAGTGTTGGTGTAGAACATTTCAAGTACCACAGACTATCAGAAGAACAAACAAAACTGTCTTTGAAGAAGTACAACCAGAATGCTCCTTAGAAGTTAGGATGGTGAGACTTTGTCTTATGTACTTTGGACATGTTATCAGGAGGGACCAATACCTAGAGGAGGACATCATGCTTGGTAAACTAGATGGTCAGAGAAGACAAGGAAAACACACAATGAGATGGATTGACAGAGTGGTTGCAACAATAAGCTATGAGTAGTGAGCGTAGTGATTCTGAGTTGGGCTGCTAAGCTCAAGGTCAGCAGTTCAAAACTACCAGCGGTTCTGTGGGAGAAAGATGAGGCTTTCTGCTCCCGTAAAGATTTACAGCCTCAGAAACCCTATACCAGGTCACTAAAAGTCGTAACCAACTTCCACCGCACACCATCACCACCACCAGCAGGCAATGAGGATGGCAGGGCTGGGCAGGGTTTCCTTCTGTTGTACATGGGCCTTTGCACATAGGGACTCTATGGAACAGATTTGGCAGCATAGTGTGGTGTTATAGGATCAGCACTAAACTGAACCACATGGTCAGCCATTCAAACCCACCAGCTGCTCCTTGGAAACCCTATACAGGGTCGCAATGAGTAGGCACCGACTCGCCAACACTTAAGAACCGCCCATAACAACAAATTTTAGAAGTAAATCACCAGGTCTTTCTTGCTAGTCGGTGTTAGTCTGGAAGGTCTGCTGAAATCTGTCCACCATGGGTGATGATGCTGGTATTTGAAATACCATTGGCATACCTTCCACCATCACAGTACAATCATAGTATGACGAACTGAGACCGGTGGTAGTGCACCTTTGTAGGAAAACAAATTACCATCTAACAGATTACTTTAAGAAAACACTCTATCAGAACTTCATATAGTGGAAGATCAAACTGTCCCCAGCCTAATCCAGTTGTTTTTTAATGTGATTCCTAATGTGATTGAATATAAAGCATTCAATATCACCTAAGATAAAACCTTGTTAAAAATCTTATCTAATCAATCCTCTAGCATCAATATCTTAAGTTTTTTAAGAAACACTAGTACAAGCTAAACACCAAGAAGAAGCAATCACACAAATATAAAAGGTGACTTGAAATACATAACAAAATACAAGGGTAGTCTTTAATTGGATCCTGGTTTACACCAAGCAGCTCTACAGGACATTTTGAGGATAATTGAATACACTTGAATTGCAACATTACATAATATTAAGAAATCACTTGCTAGGTATGTTATTTTTGCCCTGTGGAAATATGCTTTTACAGAGGTGCATGCTTAAATATTTAGAGGTGGGAAGATCTTGATGTCTACAGTTCACTTCAAAATATTAGAGAGTTTAGGAAATAAAACATTAAAATTCAGGTCTCAATTTCCAATTCACTATTTCCACTAAATGTTCATTAAATATTGTTGTTAACTGCCATTGAGTCGGTTCCGACCCTTGGCAACCCTATATAGTATAGGGTTTCTGAGGAGCAGCTGGTGAGCTTGAACCGCCAACCTTGAAGTTCAAATGGCTTTGGAGTCTGGCACATTAACCCACAGCTACCACAGTTGCTGGAGTCCTGGTATGATACTGTTGGGATAAGCACTGGTGGGAAAGGTCGCTTTGAACTGCAAGGTCGGTGGTTCAAACTCACTGGCCACTCCTTGGAAACCCTAAAAAGGGTCGCTATGAGTCGGAACTGAATCCACGGCACTTAACAACATCATAATTGCATAAAAAGAACTCTTGCAGACAGGTTCAGAGAAGTGCCCTACCATTGGTATGATGTTTTACAGGAACTTCTCTGAGGAGAACTCAAAGGTAATGACTAATTTTTCTGACAATCCGGTACTTGAAAGTTCCCAAAAGGTATCAAAGGGGCACGGACGGAAAGGGGCACGGACGGGCAGAATGCTTTCAAGAGATGAAAACTTCTAGAACAGCTCCTTCTATTTACCACAACAGAGCAGATCCTACGTAAGGCTTTGAAGGAACCAGCCTCATTAAAGCAATCTGCTGTTAACATAAATCATCTAAATCCCTTCTGTCTTCACTGACCCTTATGTCGGGTTAACTACTTCGCAAATAATCACGAAACAAACGGACGCTGTTTCAAGAGTCTTTCTCAAGTTATGAGTACCGTGTTAAAGAACCCCTTTGCCATCACCACCGGCTTTTTAACAAGGGCCTCCAAGTCTCTATCAGGAACGAAGACCCTCCCTTAAGCCTGAAGTGGCGGACACAGAGCTAAGACTCCTTTGCCTGGTCTTTTCTCGCTCTCCATCCAATGAGTGGCGCGGTCCTCACTCCTGGACCACACACCTGGGTGTGCGCGGAAGTTCATTTGCAGAGTTTGACCAGGGAGGTCCGTCCACTTTCAGCCGTTTGTGACCTCCTAGCACTTCTCAGGGTTAGTCCTTAAGTATGTACACTTCCCCATCTTCAACCTTGTACTTTCCAAATTCTTAATACTCTAGCAGTGGGACGACTGAGAAAGATCCTGCAGCTAGCACTTCGGTTCATAGCTCTCAGCTTGGCAGCTGAGAAACATTTAAAGAGAAGCGTCACTACCGCTCGCACTAAAACCTAGTTCTGCCATAACCACTGCCTGATGACCCAAGTTAATCGACTTTGAGACCGGATTCCGCGCAGGGACCATTGTAAGGCGGGAGAGGGCGCCCAGAGCGGGAACCTTGCTTGTCTGCGTGCGTCACGGGTCACGTGCTGCGTCTCTCTTCGCTACCGGCAACCAGCCGCTCCCTCTTCCGGAAGTCGCGCCCGTCAACGCCGGACTCCTCCTACCGACGGCGACGTCAAACTCAGCTCCTACCACTGCTCTGCGTCCGACGTCAGGCGCGGGGAAAGCTGCTGTTCTTAAAATAAAGTCTGCTGCTTCTGGCCCATAAACAGTACAGGAGACGGTTCTAAAAATACAAAATGTACAAGCTCCTCGGACGTGCGTTGAGTAGAATTTGAGAGGCCAGAGACAAGGTATCTGGAAGCCGTCCCCGCAAAAGCCTTCCCCCCTTTCCCCTGCCGGTGCTCCACTTGGTTCTGCCGAAACCCACGACGGTTCCGCCCCCTTCTTCCTTGTCATTGATGTTGTTGTTCTTGTCAGTGCCGCAGCCCCGACCGCCGGGAGCTCGAACCCGAGCGGGGGCCGCCCGGGTGGGGCGGTGGCGGCGGCAGCGGCTGCGGGAGCGACCGGGAAACGGCAGCCGGCGTCGAGGCCGAATGGCTCTGTGCGGGCAGGCGGCAGGCGCCGCGTCGCTTCCCAGCGAGCTGATCGTGCACATCTTCTCCTTCCTGTCCGCGCCCGATAGGCTGCGGGCCTCGGCCTCCTGCTCACACTGGCGGGAGTGCCTCTTCTACCCGGCGCTCTGGCCCCAACTCCGCATCAGCCTCCGCGTCTCTCCCACCGAGCAGCCCCGGCTCGAATTCCTCATGCGCAAGTGCGGCTGGTTCGTACGGGAACTGCGCGTTGAATTCGCCGCTGAGAATTACCTGAGCGGCGGCGGCGGCCCCGGCGATGGCGCGGACCCCGGGGTTGGCGGAGAAGAAGTCGAGGCCTTGCATCTCTCAACCCGTTGGCTGGAAGTGCTGCGTACCTACTTGGAGCTGGTGCTGTGCGTGCTGGTCAGCATCCGGAACAACAGGTAGGCTCTTCCTGAGCCCTTCCATCCTCCCCTCCCCGCCGTCTCTGAACGCGGGGTTGCCTTCTTTCCTTCGCCCCGGAATATATTCAGTGCTGACGAGACCGGCCTGCTGCACAGTCGCCTTCTTCAGTGACTGAGGGTGTTGGTTCTAATTGGGCGATTTTCTGAGGCCGGGAGGCCATAGCGGGATCCGCACAATACTTTATAAGTAGTGAAGGACTCAGCGTTTATCAAGCACCATCCCTGATGCCTTTCAGGCCCTGCCTCGTTCATCTTCTCCGTGGCCATGGGTGGAACTGACAGGCGGCGTCATTTTTCATTTTACAGATGGGATTGCTGAGGCCTGTGAGAGAGTCTCGGGAGAAATAAAATAGAGCCTGGGTTTTTCTGACCCGGGACCAGTCCAATAGAAATAGATTATTCACGGTGGAAGAGCAGAGTAGTGTATACAGCTGGTGAGACTGCCCCGAAAAGAAACCTCTGACAGCCATTTTCTTACTAGAGTAGTTTAAATTGACTGGGCTAGGCTCAAAGAGTAGGAGGTTGGTCATAAGTGTTGAAAGTCCTTCCTGATGGACTCAACTTGCCCTTAGGATTCACCTCAAAGAAAACTGCACTGTAACTTGGGGGTAGGGGCAGTCTGCAGAGGGTAAGCATCAGGATTTACGCTACTTCTGGCACTAACTGCCTGTGTTTTGACCCAGTATCCTAATTAACATTTTCCTGTATTTCTCCTACATCTTCCCCAAAATCCTATTAATTTAGATTTTTCTGTATGTAGGCATTCTAACTAACCTTACAATTAAACTAAGACTTGGAAGAAAGTTCAAAAGTGGAGAGTGTCAGGATAAATTACAGTAGCAATTTACATGGTAATAATAGTTTAGTAATTTACAGTACTTTCACATTCACTGTCTCCCTCCTAGAATCCTCCCAATGAACCTGCGGGTTAGGTAGGCTAGTGATTGTTATTTTATAGAAAGAAAGGAAGCAGAAACTCTAGGCCCTTCCTTTTGTAGTAAACCCACCACCAGCTTTATGTTGAAAGGGCTTGAGAGCAGGCTCTAGTTTAATACTGTTGTTGTTGTTGTTGTTGTTATCGAGTGCCATCAAGTCAGTTCTGACTAATAGCAACCATGTATAGCGGTTAGCAGTTCAGTGCTTATCCTTCCGGTTTAATACTAGGCCATATAGTATATATCCTTAATTCTGTGTCTGCATTAAAAGGTCAGGCTGCTGAACATAGTTTTAAGTTATATATGGAGCATTACTCCAGTGGCCAGTGTATTTCCCCAGATTTTCACTTAGCAAACCATTCCATTTCCTTGCATATATGTTATCTGACAAAAGACAATATTGAAGCTAAAAATTGTTCTTGATCAAGTTGCAGGTTGTCAATGTATGACTTGAGAACAAACTGATCTACACACAAAATAATCGGTATCACTGTGTGCTTATAACTAATGAGACAAAGGCTGGGTTAATTCCGTGAATACCAATTATATTATTCTGTTTCAAGATCAGCTAGCACCTCTTTGCAACTATCCAAAAATGTGTGTCTGTGGAGTCCTGATGTGGCACTGTAGGACAAGCACTGTATTGCTAAGTGCATGGCAAGCAATTCAAACACACCAGCTGCTCCTTAGAAACCCTGTGCAGGGTTGCTATGAGTCGGAACCGACTCTGTGACAATTAGCAACAGCAGCACAGTTCCAAGTAAGAAACCTTATGTAGCACCTACTGTCTTAGTGTTTTAATAACTGTTTGGGTAGATGGATGGATAATATTTAATAGACAAAATAGTGGTATAATATATCTTCCCCTTTTTTGGTTAATTCTCTCCTCCTCCTCTGCCTGTACCACTTTTATTAATGTTTCAATCTACCTGCCTGTAAGGCCACCCTTATCAACTATCCCTTCTGCAGATATTGCTGAATGTCATGCTTGATTTTAAGGGATAGTGCTATGTGTGCTGCTCTGGTAGCGTATTCATTGTGTGTGTCTAAAATTAAAGATTTTCTTTTTGTTTTTATTGCTAAGTGTCATCGAGTCGGTGCCAACTCATAGCGACCCTGTGTAGGGTTTCTGAGGAGCAGCTGGTGAGTTTGAACCACTGACTTTGTGGTTCAAACTGACCTTGCAATGCAATCAGGTACTTATCCTACTACATCACCACACCAAGACTCCCATTTTTTTCCTTTATGTGTATGAAAAAAATTACTATATTTTTAGTTTAGAAAATGCCTAATGATCATATTTGAAGTATTTTTATATATGTTAAAAATATAAAGGAAACTAGTTGCATTTTAGTTTTAATAAATTTGGAAATGATTTAAACGAAGTTGTTTATTTGATAGCTCTGGTAAAGCCTTATCCTTAATTTCTATAGTGTAACCATTTAAACTAAGGAGCTCTGGTAGCGTAGTGGTTACAAACTGGGCTGCTAACCTCAAAGTCAGCAGGTAGAAACTACCAGCAATTCCACAGGAGAAAAATGAGGCTTTCTGCTCCTGTAAAGATTTACAGCCTTGGAAACCCTGTGCAGGGTCACTATGGGTCGGAACCGACTCGACGGCACTTAACGACAACAAACCATTTAAAACTAGGAGTCCTTGTGTGGCACTGTTAGTTAATGTGCTGGACTGCAAAGCCGACTTGAACCACAAGGTTGGTGGTTCAAGCTCACCAACTACTCTTCAGAAACCCTATACAGGGTCTCTGTGGGTCAGAACAGACTCAACGGCACTTAACTACAACTGTTTAAACTACAGAATTCGGGTTTAATGAAGACTCAAAACAATGTGTAACAACATTGTTTAATGTTTCATTACTTTGTTTTGTTTTTAAATGAGCAGAATAAACTTATTACATTGTTGATATTTCCAACTTAAATTCACATTCATTTTGTTATGATTTCTGCTATTTTGTGAATAGAAAAGGGGGGAATGAAATATACCAGACCTCAAATTTTCTGCTTGCAGTTTTTGTGCTGAATTCCTTTACACAATTAAGATTGTTATTTTTTGTGTTAACCCATTATTCTCATGTCCCACAGGAAAAGGACTAGAAGTATAACCTCTAATCGTGGAAATTTTTCAAGGGTACTCTACTTTGAAAGGATAATTGACTTCTGTTTCATTTGGTTCGGGGTTTCAGTGCACATTTACTGTCTGTAATGTTAGCTGCCTTACTGATATCTTAGATGTTAGGAACAACTGATGAGAATTAAGGAGATACAGAAGTGCTTCTTAGAAAATAGGACACCGCCCTCCAAAGGTTCCTGAGTTCCCTTCTCTACAGGGGGCTAGAATATTTTTTTTTATGAATATAGTAAATACTCATTCAGCTGTGCTCTTAGGTTAAATAGGCTGAATTTCTTCTGTGACTGTTCTATAAGAAGTTGTACTTAGAAGTTCCAAAAATTTAGAAATGTATCTTTAGGATTTAGTTTGATTATCAGGTTGAGTACTGTCAATTGAAATGCTATATTCCAGACTTTTTAGGAAACATGATAGTTCATGTCTACTAAGGGTTATGATAATATGTAACAAATCCTATCACTAATATAGTTATTCTAGCTGGTAGCCATAGATACACCATCAGGATGTGGTTAATTCTTTTCTGAGCTATATAAATATTTTACATACCTTCTTGAATACAGTGCTATCCTTTGGGCAGTGCTTTCTGTAAAGAAATTCTATTCCAGCAGATAAAAGTTTGAATGAGGTTGAGTTCCTTGTTAAAATTCAGGGTTATTGTACTACATGTATGCGGACTGACCGTATCTGCTTATGTAATCTCTTAGTAGTAGTTGACATTGGTTGTGGTTGAGTCATGGTAATCCCATGGACAGTAGAATGATGGATTGCCTGGTCTGACCATCTTCACATTTGTTGGTATGCTTGACTCCATTGCTGTGTGTCCACTGTGTATTTTGAATGTATTCCAACACAGCAGGCTTATTTCCCAGTACAGTATCAGAAAATATATTGTTAATCCTTAGAGTTTTCATTTCCTAATTTCTAAGTAGTTGGTCTCTGTTGTTTTTGTTATTGTTCAGTGTTCTGTTGTTGTGATTCTGACTCATAGCAACCCTGTATAAGGTTTCTAAGGAGTGGCTGCTGAGTTCGAACCACCAACCTTGCAGTTCAAACCGACTTTGAGGTCTAGTGCTTATCTACAACCTTCTTTTCTAGTCTGTCTTAGTTTGGAAGTGCCATTAAAATATGTCCACCAGGGGTGACCCTGCTGGTATCTGAAATACCATAGTATACCTTCTAGCATTATAGCAATATGCAAGTCACCACAGTATGATGAACAGACAGATGGTGTAGTAGAAATCTGTTCATTCTTAGATTTAGTCTTGGTAATTGAGCATGTATAATGAAGCAGAATCTTACCTTTGTATTGTTCTCTTAATATCAATTTATCAAGATACAATATCTGATACTGCCATTTAAAATGCATCTTAAAATGAGTTAAAATTTCTTTGGACATTTTAGATTACTGTCTGTCAGAGATAGTGGTTGTGGTGGTTGTGTGCCATGGAATCAGTTCTGATTCATAGTGACCCTTGTAGGGTTTCCCAGGCTGTAAATCTTTACCGGAGCAGAAAGCCTCATCTTTCTCCTGCAGAATGGCTGGTAGTTTTTGAACTGCTGACTTTTAGGTTAGCAGCCCTACTAGTAACCACTATACTACCAGAGCTCCTTGTCAAAGATGAGAGGAAATGCCTTTAAAGGTAATATCACCAACATCCCTTCACCTTAGTTAAAAAAAAAAATTCCCCACCAAAGGAGTGTAAGCACTGTACTGCTAACCTCAGGGTTGGTGGTTCAGACCCACCAGCTGCTCCGTGGAAGCCCTATATAGGGTTGCTATGAGTCGGAACTGACTGTATGGCACTTAACAAGTGTAACAACACTTAAGTAATAAATATTAAAATTCTGTGAAAAGAGATATTTTAGTTTTAGCTAAGAATTTCCCCATAAATTATAACA